GTGTCAATGTCAATTCAGTATCAATGTCAATTCAGTATCAATGTCAATTCAGTGTCAATGTCAATTCAGTGTCAATGTCAATTCAGTATCAATGTCAATTCAGTATCAATGTCAATTCAGTGTCAATGTCAATTCAGTGTCAGTGTCAATTCAGTGTCAATGTCAATTCAGTATCAATGTCAATTCAGTGTCAATGTCAATTCAGTGTCAATGTCAATTCAGTATCAATGTCAATTCAGTATGTCAATTCAGTGTCAATGTCAATTCAGTGTCAATGTCAATTCAGTGTCAATGTCAATTCAGTGTCAATGTCAATTCAGTATCAATGTCAATTCAGTATCAATGTCAATTCAGTGTCAATGTCAATTCAGTGTCAGTGTCAGTGTCAATGTCAATCCAGTGTCAGTGTCAGTGTCAATCCAGTGTCAGTGTCAATGTCAATTCAGTGTCAATGTCAATTCAGTGTCAATGTCAATTCAGTGTCAATATCAATTCAGTGTCAATGTCAATTCAGTGTTAATGTCAATTCAGTATCAATGTCAATTCAGTGTCAATGTCAATTCAGTATCAATATCAATGTCAATTCAGCATCAATGTCAATTCGGTGTCAATGTCAATTCGGTGTCAATGTCAATTCGGTGTCAATGTCAATTCAGTGTCAATGTCAATTCAGTGTCAATGTCAATTCAGTGTCAATGTCAATTCAGTGTCAGTGTCAATGTCAATCCAGTGTCAGTGTCAATGTCAATTCAGTGTCAATTCAGTGTCAATTCAGTAAGACTATCAATGTCAATTCAGTGTCAATGCCAATTCAGTGTCAATATCAATTCAGTGTCAATTCAGTAACACTATCAATGTCAATTCAGTATCAATGTCAATTCAGTGTCAATGTCAGTTCAGTATCAATATCAATGTCAATTCAGTATCAATGTCAATTCAGCATCAATGTCAATTCGGTGTCAATGTCAATTCAGCATCAATGTCAATTCAGTGTCAATGTCAATTCAGTGTCAATGTCAATTCAGTGTCAGTGTCAATGTCAATCCAGTGTCAGTGTCAATTCAGTGTCAATGTCAATTCAGTGTCAATTCAGTAACACTATCAATGTCAATTCAGTGTCAATGCCAATTCAGTGTCAATATCAATTCAGTATCAATTCAGTAACACTATCAATGTCAATTCAGTGTCAATGTCAATTCAGTGTCAGTGTCAATTCAGTGTCAATTCAGTAACACTATCAATGTCAATTCAGTGTCAATGTCAATTCAGTGTCAATGTCAATTCAGTGTCAATGTCAATTCAGTGTCAATGTCAATATCAATTCAGTATCAATGTCAATTCAGTGTCAATGTCAATCCAGTGTCAATGTCAATGTCAATTCAGTGTGTCAGTATCAATGTCAATTCAGTGTCAATGACAATTCAGTGTCAATGACAATTCAGTGTCAATGTCAATTCAGTGTCAATGTCAATTCAGTATCAATGTCAATTCAGTGTCAATGTCAATTCAGTATCAATATCAATGTCAATTCAGTATCAATGTCAATTCAGCATCAATGTCAATTCGGTGTCAATGTCAATTCAGCATCAATGTCAATTCAGTGTCAATGTCAATTCAGTGTCAATGTCAATTCAGTGTCAGTGTCAATGTCAATCCAGTGTCAGTGACAAAGTCAATTCAGTGTCAATGTCAATTCAGTGTCAATTCAGTAACACTATCAATGTCAATTCAGTGTCAATGTCAATTCAGTGTCAATGCCAATTCAGTGTCAATGCCAATTCAGTGTCAATATCAATTCAGTATCAATTCAGTAACACTATCAATGTCAATTCAGTGTCAATGTCAATTCAGTGTCAATTCAGTAACACTATCAATGTCAATTCAGTGTCAATGTCAATTCAGTGTCAATGTCAATGTCAATTCAGTGTCAATATCAATTCAGTATAAATTTCAATTCAGTGCCAATGTCAATTCAGTATCAATGTCAATTCAGTGTCAGTGTCAATTCAGTGTCAGTGTCAATTCAGTGTCAATGTCAATTTCAATTCAGTGTCAATATCAATTCAATATCAATTCAGTGTCAATGTCAATTCAGTGTCAATTCAGTGTCAGTGTCAATTCAGTGTCAATTCAGTAACACTATCAATGTCAATTCAGTGTCAATGTCAATTCAGTGACAATTCAGTGTCAATGTCAATTCACTGTCAATGTCAATTCAATGTCAATGTCAATATCAATTCAGTATCAATGTCAATTCAGTATCAATGTCAATTCAGTAACACTATCAATGTCAATTCAGTGTCAATGTCAATTCAGTGTCAATTCAGTGTCAATGTCAATTCAGTGTCTATGTCAATTCAGTGTCAATGTCAATATCAATTCAGTATCAATGTCAATTCAGTATCAATGTCAATTCAGTGTCAATGTCAATTCAGTGTCAATGTCAATTCAGTGTCGATGTCAATTCAGTGTCAATATCAATTCAGTGTCAGTGTCAATGTCAATCCAGTGTCAGTGTCAATGTCAATTCAGTGTCAATTCATTAACACTATCAATGTCAATTCAGTGTCAATGTCAATTCAGTGTCAATGTCAATTCAGTGTCAATGTCAATTCAGTTTCAGTATCAATATCAATTCAGTGCCAATGTCAATTCAGTATCAATATCAATGTCAATTCAGTATCAATGTCAATTCAGTGTCAATATCAATTCAATATCAATTCAGTGTCAATGTCAATTCAGTATCAATGTCAATTCTGTGTCAATGTCAATTCAGTATCAATGTCAATGTCAATTCAGTATCAATGTCAATTCAGTGTCAATGTCAATTCAGTATCAATGTCAATTCAGTGTCAATGTCAATTTAGTATCAATGTCAATTCAGTGTCAATGTCAATTCAGTGTCAATGTCAATTCAGTATCAATGTCAATATCAATTCAGTATCAATGTCAATTCAGTATCAATGTCGGTTTAATGTCAATGATTTGCTGTAAGGCAACTAGTAATATTTAACTGATAATCATACAGTGATATAGTGATATAGTGATTTTGAAAAGATTTTTATAGATTTTGTAATTTGATAAATGAAGTTGACATTTTATAAACAAAATAAGTAAATATAAAAGAAATCAGGAGCCACATTTTTGTTTGTGCCTAACTTTAAATACAATTTTATTTTTTCTTGAAGACGAACCTTCCTAGTAGTCAACAAGCTGACTCCACATGATTTTGTGGGATTCCATTTTTACTCAGGATTCTTGAAAAAATAGTTCTGTAAGTATATCCTAATGTATTCAATGTGAACAACTTGATTGATCTAAACTTTGTTTTTTTCCTGATTGATTGTCCAGCAGGAGAAAGTAACATTTAAAAGATTAGAGGCAAAACAAATTAGCCAAGATGATTCATGAAAGTTGATGCATGTGAAAAATGTAATTTACATAGATATTAATGCAATTAATCATTTCTGAGCTTTCACATTAAAACAAATTCTGAATTAATAATGGAAAATCCATTCTATTCAGAAGGTTCTAATTTTCTCCAACTTTAAACATCACTTGTGTTCTCAGTAGAGCTTATAGCACATGTGCCTAATGTTTACATATAAATTCACTTGGCACATGGCAATAAATCTCACTACATACTAACCTCAGCCTTGATAAAGTGTTAGGTCTATAGACTTGCATGTAATCACTGATACGTGTACGTTAATAATATTCTCTTGACAGTAAGCAGTGTAAATGCTAAACCAGTTGTAATAATTTGATTCACACTTGATAGGAGTTTAACTTTAGCCATGCTTAATATTAAGTACTATAGGTCTCAATAATTTTTATATTAAACGTGATAAAACACTTTTATTTCCAAAGGTTGGTCTACATTTAAAACCAAACACTGATTTATTGGCCTATATTATTTCTTTTCCAAAAGGAAAATGAAAATTTTACAGGCCAATAAAAATATTGGCAGGGCAATATATTGTCAATAAAAAAAAATCAACCAATATATGAGCTAATAACAAAAATATCAGGTCAATATAATTGTATTTTCATCTAGTCCTATCCAGGAAAGAAAAAGTAATTAAACTTAAATATAATGTAATGTACAATGTTAAATATGGGAACCTTCTAAAATGCAAAAAAAGATTTTCTGAAATTATTCCAAATTGTATTTATGTGTGTTTACAATCTAAACACTGCATGTGTTTACAATCTAAACACTGCATGTGTTTACAATCTAAACACTGTGTGTTTACAATTTAAACACTGTGTGTTTACAATTTAAACACTGTGTGTGTTTACAATTTAAACACTGTGTTTACAATTTAAACACTGTGTGTGTTTACAATCTACACTGTGTGTGTTTACAATCTACACTGTGTGTGTTTACAATCTACACTGTGTGTTTACAATCTAAACACTGTGTTAAAATAAAAACATGGCATGCACTGATTTTGTAAATCAAAAACTGACCAAAAACATGCATGAAAGTGTTACCTTTATATGTCCATCGTTGCCCAGCAGTAGATTAGATGGCTTGATATCTCGATGAATTATTTTTTGATAATGTACTAAGAAGTAAAAGTTGAATATAAGTTACATTTATCTTACTCAAACAAGAAATGAACTGAGCATTTTACATTTTTTATTGATAGTACATATATTTATGAAACTTTCTAGAAATACTGATAAAACCTGACCCATTTATGGTACAATTCATGTTCAAATTCTGTGTAAACAATAACAAATAGTTTTACCCTCAGAGCACCACAATTTTTCCTGCCAAAATTTGTTGATATGTGCAACATTTCACACATTTTATGTTTTTGTTTAGATTTTGGACCAGATATATAATAGACATAATTTCTCATTGGCAACAAATTTTGATAATCTATTACAGAAACAATTATGAGCTGAAGGTGTTAATACGTTCTTGGCAGAAGTGGCTCTGTGAAATTATAGAATGAGAGTAAACTTTTAGTTTCTTGGCCGTGTATGTACACAATGATCAAAAGTTCTGTTATGTGATTGGTCAGAAGTTTAAAGACCATATTTATTACTTAAATCATCATGCAAAGAATCCTGTTGTAATTACAGACCTGGAAGCAACTGTTACAAACAAATATATTATATACAGCTAAGCAAGTAGTCAGCTAAAGGAATCAAAGCCACAACCTCCATGATGTGAAGAAAACACTATTGTATCGTTCCTAGGTTATATGTGTGGACAGTGGTTTTGATGAAAGTATACATGGATAGCAAATATCAGCACACTACACAAATACTTACAATATTCAATTCCTAGTATAGCATCATGGAGATATATTCGTGATTGGTCTTCACTAAAAGGGTTTTCTGTTGGCACGTCGATCACAGGACTGTAACAAAACATTTAATAAAAATTCAATGACATCCCTCTACATTGCCAACTGTGGATTGCCAAAAATGAATGAATAAATCCCATGGCACGAGAATGAATATAACCAGAAGCTAAACAGTGAACATGGAAAAGAAGTAAAATATAAAGTAATTACAAAAGGGTTAGATTTTTTCATGTTTGCACACTGTGAACAAGCAGACTCTCGGCTGAGATAGCTCTGCTGCTAGCAATGCACATTTCATTAGAGAATTGAGGATATCATTACAAAATAAAAAAATCAGAGAGAGGTCCACCTGGGGTACCTATACATGTATGTATAATATTAAAGCAAATATCACTTTTTACCAAAAATGACAAAAATATTCATCAAAATTAGAGAATTGAAGACATCATCACGAAATGAATCTAAGAGAGGTCAACCCAAAGTGCATGTACACCAAGTACATTTGTATCAAAGCAATCAGGCTTGTAGTTTTCAAGAAGAAATCAAAGTAAAAAGTTGACATGGATGCTGACAGAAGACAAAGTTAATAGCCGAGCTAAAAAGTCACCCTTTGACCCAGTTTGTCACATACCCATTTGGGACCAATTCAAATACCATATACAGGTTATCTTCATTGGGGTCATCTAAGACTTCCACCAAATGTACAACATTAGGATGATCTAACTTCTTGAGTATTGCTATTTCTCTATAGACTCTTTCTAATGGCGTCTTTGGTACTGGCTTGCCATTCCTGGCAGGAGGTGGCTCTGTAAATTTGTGAAATGAGAGAGTACATTACTTTTAGTTTTTAATGGCTGTGTACAGAATGAGAGAATTGATAGAATCTAGTTTTGCACACTGCCTGCAAAGGCTGTAATATACTATTCTTATTAACTGATTTTTAGCAGCATTGTGTTCTGAAATAATCAAGTATGTCAAAATCTAAAATATTGACTTCAATATTTTAATACTAATTACATGTAAAGGTACTGATCAGAAGAGTTGTTATATATGAACTGTGAGGGCGCTGTCACATTTCAAAATTATTTGTTTAACTACCAGATGAAAGAAAATATTGTATTGTGGAAAGGTTAATGGCTGATACTTATTTCAGTTTTTAATAAATTTATGCCAATATATACAATTGATAAACATAAGTATTCAAGAAACCTGAAATAAACTTTTGTCGTGATAAAATGGAAATGCTGTATATTTATTGAGGAAGCAGTTGAAGCACTGGCCTATCCTAATAAGACATTAATTCAATATGGGCAATATAAGAAGGCAATTATCGACTGTGTGCGGCTGTAAAATGTCGGGAGATGTGAAGACTACCAATTAGCTTCCTACTCAAACAGATAAGCAACACAATATAAACGGCAGATAGTTTACTATTCTCACAAATCTTGATTTAATTGATTTGAACCGATGAATAAAGTGATAACATACTTGGGGAAAAACATCTGATATACCATATTTACTCAGAAGCACATCTCCTGATGCACACAAGTCATGCAAAAATTGCGTTTATTTCATCAATAAATTTGACTTATGTTGGCCATAGACACACCTCATTTACATAAGTGCAACACTAATAGAGTATAGAATCTTGGTAGGCGTTGATGCATTTAACTGTATTGCCAAAATTTAGTAAAATTGATAAAGACCAAACTGACCATCACTGGGTAAAATTTACAAAGACCAAACTGAGAAATAGCCACTTGACTTTTTTAAATTAATAGCTAATGCATGGAGAAATAGCCACTTGACTATTTTAATAGCTAATGCATGGAGAATAGCCACTTGACTATTTTAATTATAGCTAATGCATAGAGAAA